AGAAAGATTATATTATTATATTATTATTTAGCTGGTCAGAGTAGTTGCCTTTTGTTACATGTGGTCGAGTGGAAATGATTTTTGAAAACAAAGGAATAATTATGAAATAGGCCTCTAGCATCACACAAGCCAATAGGTTCCCAATTCCCAGGCGATTAAAATTCTTTTGTTTTGTCCTCCAAATTGAGATCCTTTGATGTCACATGCAAAGGGTCTATTGCAACCGAGTAGGTAGAATACAAGGTCAACACGTGACCCTACCCAAGAATCGGAACCAAGAAACAAGCGCTTGTGTCAAATGGCCTGGAAGAAAGACAATATATTCAAGAAGCTAGGGTTAGGCAAGCGTATTTTGGTTCGGAGGATTTAAGCAAATCATATGTTGACAAATGAAGCTATATAAATATATCAAGGTGAGAAGGGGATCACACAAATATGAGACACTAGCTACACATATTGAAGGGATCATAAACAAGATAGTGCCAGCCTCTCGGTTATCGACAACGCAGAACAAAATATCTTAACTTGGCTTTCTTTAATTACAGATTAATTCTATTACTTTAGTATCAAGTATATGACTTATAAGTACATGATTACATATGATTGTGCTTCTTTGATATTTCAGACGAATCAATTCTTCATTCTGATCCTGATTGGCTACTCATAATCATAGTGGTCGTTTGCTCTCTAGTTACGGTTGCGTTAATACTGGCTTTTATTCTCTGCTTGAGAAAATGGAAGCAGTCAATACGTGACATCGACAAGGGTAAGTGAGAAGATAAATATAGTACACGTTACAAGAGTTGAAGCCAAATAATAATGTTAGTTCCCACRTAAGCCTTGAACACAGGTGCGGTGACCTTTCGCAACTTGTTTGCATTGAGTGGCCCAAAACAATAGTATTAAGATAGGGTTGGATACATGCTTCTTTTAGAAGCGCATGCTCACGGGGTCAAAAAGAGGGACCATGGTTGTAAAAATTGCTATATTAAGGAATATTTGATTTAGATCCAGCAACAGTCAACATTATAAGCTAATTCGCTTTTTTTTACCAGTATCTGGGTGTACTTTTTAATCCTGTGGTTCGTTTTAACACGACTGCTCGTTTATAAGGGATAAGTAATGGGAATGTAACACATGTGTAAGTGAAAATAACATATTTCATACCATAACTTAATTTTTTTTCTTTTGCTTCCAGGTACACAGTCTATAGCCCATGACCCGTAAGTTCTGACAAGATCTACTTTTTACAAGTATATGACGTTGTGTACTAGTAGTGAACTGGCTGTTTTTTTTAGAACAATTAATCAACTCAATCAAATCAACTCAACTTTCACCTACAAACCGCCATATTTCCTGGCAGAGAAAAGGCGCATTGCATAGCATTCCATTGTTTCCTGCCCGCGCAGTGCATTTTAGTTGACTAGGATTCTTCTTCCTTGTTTGATTAGTCGATTATTTAAGCTTCATCGATCCGTTGACTGGTTGACTAGTCTTAAATAGTTGATCGATTAAAAATGGACCCATTTTAAAAGTATCGTGAATGCAAGGATAACATCATGGAAATACAAAAGAAATGCCACAAATTCCATCGAGAAAAAGTGTGATTTCTTTTTGTATTTACATGTTAGCCTCACAGCCACGATACTTTTAAGAAACTCGGGTCCATTCAGGCTTTGGTTGATTTGATTGACGAATAGTTAGTTATGTTGGTTATTACTTTTTTATTGACTCATTATATAAAACACACGACTTTGTTAGAATGCCAAATCAGTTGGTGGAGGAGAGTCCGCATGGAGAACCAGTTGATGCTATACGAGTGAGAAGCGTAATTCACACATCTGCAAGCAATGCTGCTTATGCCACCGTGGAAGAGACTGGCTACAAACCAGTTATCACTTCTAAAACAGTACAACAACCAACACGTGATGAGACATTCAGTTCCAAGAAAGTGAAATCTAACGTGGAACCCATGTATGCTATAGTCAACAAAAACAAAAAGGTTGGTTTGCATATTTTTTAGGAAAATAATAAAATTAAAATTAACATGTCCGGATTACTTTAAATACACCATATTCGAGTTCGTATATCATTATTCTTGTCATTGTTTCTTTACTACAGACTCATTTACTCATTGTTCCAGTGCTTTTAAAGGGCATTTGCAACATACTTATTGCATTAAAGTTTTTCTGCCTTCGAAATTTTGGACTGCTGGGTTCTTCTGGGGTCTTCGTTAATTGAAAGAACTGGATTGTTCAGTATTTTATTATGATTCGTTTACCGAGAAGAG